AATATTTACCATAAATTAAAGGTATCTTATATTATTAGATATATTATTATAAAACATGCTTTAGTTAAGGAGTTATTGATACTTTAAGTGCAAAATGATGATATAAAACCTTGATAAAAATATACTTTTAAGTATTAATCAATTTGCTATCTAGGTAAGAGAAGTTCAAGATCATGGGATCTTTTTTTATAAGATAGGAAGGGCTGTTGCACAAAATATACTTCTAAGTAATTCCCCATAGATCCTATATCTATCTATATGAAGAAGAAATCATATAACAAAGGAGATTCTTATTTGTACAAATGGTACTTCAAACTTGGAACGAGCATGAATAAATTAACAATACTTCTTTATCTTTTGAGTTGTTCTGTTGGATTGATTATTCAAGACCTTTGGTCTCTACTAGACCCAAAGCAAAAAATAGGATCACTTATTATAAACTTGTTAAGAATGATTCTAATCTAGTTCATGGCCTATTAGAAGTAGAAGGCACTCTGGTGGGATCCTCAAGATAAGAAGGGGTAGAGAAAATGTCTCGAGCCAATGTTCGAGTACCAGGCACTACGACACTAAAGTAACCCATGCCATACTCTCAGGCAAAGCTTCAATGACTTTCAACAAAAGAGTACCTGTACCCAAAATCAACACAGGTGGGTAGGTAGAGAATACCTAGAGGTGTGAGAAAACTTTCTCTATCTTAACGAAATAGCCCTGTAACTTCAAGAGAAGGGGTGCCTCCTCACAAAAGGGGTCGTAGTGACTAGGCCTGGGAGACTGTTTACCAAAGACACAGGTTTTCGCAAATTTATAAGACCATGTATGGGGGCTGACGACTACCCAATGCCGGAAGGCCAAGGAAGTTGGTGACCTGATGACAGGGGAGCTAACGGTTTTTTTTTGTTTTTGTGAAAAAACGTTTTCTTAAAAACAATACACACACACACGCACGCACACAGACTATTTATGTTTATTGTTTGTGAAGATAACGTTCCTGTCTTTTTCTGATATCTATACCAGTTAAAATCACAGGATTAGAATGACTTGAATACTCGGTCTATCTTTTTTTTTTTTTATGAGTTAAGGTTGTTTTTATGTTATTTCGTATTGTATAATTTTTTTTGTAGGATCGTTTTCTCATGAGAGGTAATTAAAAGAAATTTTAAAATGAATTGCTACCTATGCCTAGATCCCGAATAATTAAAAATCTATTGGACAGGCAGATTCACATCTCTTACAGCCGACATAACCTTCTGTTCTTGGACCAGAAGCAATTTGCTTAGCTTTATACCCTTCCTAAGGTATCATTTCTAATACATCCGTGGGACAGGCTCAGACATATCAAGTACACCCTATACATGTATCATAGATTTACTGAATGTAACATTGGGTCTATAATTATTATTTTTTTCATTTTTCATTTAATTCATTAATATTAAAGCAAACTAATTCCATATACTTTCCTAAGGTATCATTTCTAATACATCTGTGGGACAGGCTCAGACATATCAAGTACACCCTATACATGTATCATAGATTTTTACTGGGTCTATAATTATTATTTTTTTTCATTTTTTCATTTAATTCATCAATATTAAAGCAAACTAATTCCATATACTTAATCCCTATTTTTCTGTCTTGGTCATAAAGCCATTTTGATTGTCCATGGTTAACTTTCTTTTATCTCTTCTTCATAATTTGATGTCAACTCAACACAATTAGATTCAAAACATATTTTCATAATAGTTTCATGCATGTGTTTTGACAATTTATCTTCCCTCTTTAATGACAAATTTGACCGAACTTATAGGAAACCAAGGGTTTCCTCCACTTCCTATGCATCTAACTCATCATAATCATTCACAATACATTTATTTAGACATGATTTAAACCAGATATCATAATAATTAAATTAATTAAATTTACTTTTCTTCCACATGCTTTGGTTGAATATCACCTAAAAAAGAGAAACATGATTTATTTTCAAATCCCTTAAATCTCCACATATTGTTAAAGTCACACAATTATACTTATTTTACACAAAAAATAAATAAAATAAATTCAAACTTCTAATCTGTATGTTGGCTAAAACTTTCATTCAGGACGAGGGGTAAAGTTTCTCTTCAATTTTGTCAGTTGACATTTACCCACTTCTTTTTCTATCTATCTTGCCATATCTAAACATATCCCATCCATCAATGGGATAAAACAAAAAAATTCAATTAATCTAAAAAAATATTTTTTTCTTAAAAAGATCAAAACATAGTTTTAATAAAAAAAAATCAATAAATTTTTAACATAAATTTTAGCTTGGATCAACAAAGTTACCACTTGATTTAATTTTAGCCAGGTCAAATTATATTAATTTATCTTTTAATTTTTTTAAATTTAGATTTATCTAGACTCTGAATTGATCAAATTTTAAATAGTTTTAGAAGACATTCTAAGTTTAATAAGTAAGGTTATTAATTTTAATATTCAAGGTAAAATAAAGTAGAAAAACTAGCATCAATTTATTTTTAAAATATGTAAATTTAGTAGTAATATTTATTAAGATTAAAATAAATATTTTCATATTTTAATTTAATTTAATTTATTAACTATAAATCAAATAAACACAATAAATAAATAACCAATTTATTTTATATATTATTATCAAACACAATCCTATTTTTTTCTTTGATTACTTCGCCTTATTGTTTTAGTTTCTCGTATTCTATTCGATTCGAGGATGGTAACTAAATTGAAAATGAAAAAATAACTCATAAATCGTGAAATCAAAAAGTTTTGTTAATTGCAAATTCACCAATAAAATGGCAATAATTTGAAAGTAATGTAGAGTACTTGAGTCCAAGGTCATCCCTAGGCCAACTACCCACGTGAAGGAACGAAAGCGATGTAAAATTCCAAAAGCACATCGAGAGAGCAGAAAAGCCAACTCTAATATGTTTCCACTTCTCTTCACGTGACCTTCCTTCACTTCTCTCGATACTCCCCACTTGTCTTCTCCGTCACTCTTTCATCTCCTCCGACAACCTAGGCAGTAGCCTCCACTGAAACCAGAAGAATCCACCCTAACTATCTCAAGCAAGATTTAGTTTAGTTCGAGAACCCATCTCTCTTTCTTGATCATCATCATCATCATCATCTCCACCAATCCAATCCAAACCATAGTAATGCCTCAACAACCCCACCATTCCTTTCTTCTTCTCTCCATCTTGATGCTTATCTGTTCTCTATATAGCATTATTTCAGCAGATCCTCGGTTCCATGAATGTACTTCGAAGCAAGATACATCCTTGAGATCTTCTTCATGCCCTCCATTCGCATCCACTTCTCCTCCTCCTTTCCCCTTCTCTTTATCACCTGGTTGTGGCCACCCTTTCTTTCAACTAAAATGCTCTTCTCCTCACTCCATAATCTCCATCAATAACCTCTCTTTTGCTCTCCTTCACTTCGACCCCAACTCCTCCTCTCTTCTTCTATCTCCTCAACTCTCCTCTTTAACATCCTCAACAACGATAAGACCCGCTGCTACTTGCTTTAGTGATCTTTCTTCCATTCCTGCCCATTCCATCAATCTCTCCGGTTCACCATTTCGAGTTTCTGACTCTTATTGTTCTCGGCTTTCTGTTCTGCGCTCTTGTTCCCCACCAAATCTCCCAAACTGCAGCCACTGTCCCTGGGAGTGTAAGCTCGTCAAGAACCCACTTAACCTCCTAAATGACTGTGGATCTGCCACTCCTCGTAGTCTCCAAAAGCAGGGATGTCAAACCGACATCTTAGAGTACCTTGACAATTTCTTGAAATTCGGGTTCCAAGTTGAGTACGATGAGTCTCAAGACTCCTACTTCTCCAGCTGCAGGGAATGCAAATCCAAGAAAGGAATCTGTGGCTTCAATTCCTCAGATCCAGAAAAGAATTTCTTTTGTTTTCAGTCCAGAACTCGGTTTTCACCTACATGGATTCACCAAAATGACCCAAACCGAGTCGCCATTTTGTGCTCCATCTCCGCAGTGTTATGTGTTGTAATTGCCGTTTTGGTTTTTGGAATTGTTGTTAGGTATAGGCGATTGAAATCATTGAAAACAGAAGACGACCCAACGACACTGTTCCTTCACCGCCACCGCTCTGCTAGTCTTCTACCTCCTGCGTTCACCTTCGAGGAGCTTGAATCCTCAACTAACAGGTTTGACCCCAAGCGTAAAATTGGAGATGGAGGGTTTGGGTCTGTGTATCTAGGCCAGCTCTCTGATGCCAGAATCGTTGCTGTTAAATACCTCCACAGGCACCACCAAGCTGCAGCCGCTGGCAGAGCATTTTCAACCAAGTCATTCTGCAACGAAATCTTGATATTATCTTCAATAAATCATTCAAATCTCGTTAAACTTCACGGGTATTGCAGTGATCCAAGAGGGTTACTTCTGGTGTATGACTACGTCCCCAACGGCACTCTCGCTGACCACCTCCATGGAACAAACAACTTGCACCGTAAAAGTTCTTTAACGTGGCAAGTGAGGCTTGATATCGCATTGCAAACGGCTTTAGCTATAGAGTACTTGCATTTCTCAGTTAAACCACCCATTGTTCACAGAGATATTACATCATCCAATATTTTTATAGAGAGAGATATGAGAATCAAAGTGGGTGATTTTGGGCTTTCAAGGCTTTTAGTCTTGCCTGAAACATCTTCATCTTCATCTGGGTATGTTTGTACCGGGCCTCAAGGCACACCTGGATACTTGGACCCAGATTACCACCGGTCGTTCCGGTTAACAGAGAAGAGTGATGTTTACAGCTTTGGAGTGGTTTTGTTGGAGCTGGTTTCAGGTTTGAGGGCAGTGGACCAGAGTAGGGACAAGAGGGAGATGGCTTTGGCTGATCTTGTAGTATCCAAAATCCAAATGGGTCTGCTTCGTCAGGTTGTTGACCCTGTTTTAGGTGTTGATGGGGAAACTATGAACGGTATTGAATCCGTGGCTGAGCTGGCCTTCAGGTGTGTGGCGGCGGACAAGGATGATCGGCCAGATTCAAGGGAGGTTGTGGAGGAGCTGAGTCGGATTCGAAGCCGAATGATTGGGCATTAAGTAAATTGTCACGACCGGAATCAGAACCATCACAGCATATCTGCATTATCTGGTGGGCAGTTGTGCGAAGGAGTTGGCATGGCTGAAGGTTTTGATTATGATGTGGGCATGGCTGTGCTCTGGTGTGGGGAGATCAGTTGTTGATTGGTGTGGTTTGGGGCTTTTGATTGACCTGACTGCTAGTCATAGTTGGGCGTTTTATGTTGTCTGGTTTGATTACAGACACGTGTAGTTTATGATGAAGAGAAGATGTCCATGCCTTGTAAGTAGTTAGCTGTCTTTACAGTTTATCCAAATATTCAATTGTCAATTTTGCTCTCATCACAGCAACTATGAAGAGGAAACCATGCATATTTTATGGAGTATGAAAGTTCGTTCTGGGTGTAGCAAGGAGTCCTAGAATTGTTGCAAGCTCATCCTTTTTGGCTCTGTTCTGATCAAGTTACTAAACTGCAATTGCACAAAGTCATCTTTCTGATATAACAAAAATGTTACGTATTAATTTCTGATGAAAATGTTTCTATGAGAGAAACCTAATCTGCTGTGACAAACAAAAACCAAAAATCCCTCCCACCTTCCACTTCCAATCCTCGGATGAAGCTTGCTGTCACAACAATGACTTCACAAGCAATCATTTCTTCTTCATTTCAAGTTTAATCTTTTTGCCTTTTCTGTTGCACACCCTCATCAACTATTATTAGCGTATGGTGTATGATATGATTGAATACATGCTCTATTATTATCCCATCTGTGTCAAAATATCTGATAAGCCCACTGATCAACCAAAATATTGATTGCATTTATTTTTGCTTTCACGCTATGGTAACTTTATCTAGTTCAGTCTTCAGACAAACAGGCTCATCGATTCACCTTTTCCTTTTCATTGTTCTCCCCTGATTAAGATGGAATCATGGGATGCAGATAAAGGATAGCTAGGAACGATGGAACAAAGGTTACACGTATTTCATCTGTAATTCACACAGTTACGAAGCAAGGCTATAGCCGAGTAGAATTCATGTATGTAACAAGATGTCCACATGCATAGTTGGTAGATTGATGATCCATCTTTCATGCCACCTGAACAAAATGTGCAGCTTCTAAGGCCCTAGCCTTCTCACCAGCAACTGTTGCTGCTTCCTGATTGCCTGTCATTGCATAGCCTCTCTCCTGCAATAGGTCATGAAATTGTCACTCATCCAGATCATTTTATCCTTAAAATAAACTCCGCATACAAGTCAGGGCTATACCAATAAGCGCCACATGAATGGGATTCCTTCCCTTTTCTTGATCCACTTCTCCACTACTCCTATTGCTACAACTCAAGAAAGAAGTCAGAAGAGCCACAATGAAGTTAAATTGCAGAAATAGGAGGTTTGGGATGTCAAACGTATGTACCCTTGGCGGCTTGTCCAGTATTTAGTAACATGCTGCACCAGACTTCATTAAATACATCAAGTTGTTCATCTGATGCCCCAAGCATCTAGCACAAAGGACAGTAAAATTAACATCTTTTAATTGAAATGTCTAAATACAGCTGATCAAAACACATGAATCAACTTGACAATATTACCTTACAATCATTGGCATCAAAATCTGAATCAAGTAAATCTAATGCCTGCTTGTCATTACCCCTCCCATACTCGAATAAGGCTTCTGCAAGCTGATAAAACGGGAAAGTGAAATCCTTGCATATCTCAAAAACACCTTTCAAAAAGCATCTGAAGAAAGCAATAGCAACAGATTTATGAAAAGTAACCACCACGTTAACATAGAACCAAAGGGAGTTTACAATTGTTTCAATTTTCTGATCATTTGTTACAAACAAAGAAAAGAGGAAAAAGGTTATATATTCTAATTATGGTCAACATCCATACCCCTCCAGGATGGGGGTTCACTGCATCTTTGGGATGTGACCTAGTTGCATCCAAAGGTATCTTACCAGCTACTAACATGAAATTGTATAAATGGTGATACAAAAATAGTAAGAGAAGCAGCAATCAGAACAAACCTGAATCACTTTCTGCATTCTTTGTTGCTTCTTCTTGCTCATCTTATGAATTCTGAAAAAGATGATGAGATTACAATAATGTAGGGCCATGCACGAAAATGTATAAAGATAGCACAGGCTTCTACCTGGATTTCAAGCCCTCAAGTAAATCTTCTGCCTTTGAAGGTTCAACAGTTTTAGCCAAGGCCCATAATATCAACACATCAAGGTGCCACTCTAAATACCAATTGGCCTAGAAATTGTAATGCACATAGAAGTACCACAGAATAATCAGACAACACAAACAGTAACATGAAAAATACGTGCCCATATGCATACCAATGGTATTTAAACATAATTGCTCGTGAAAGCATGAAAAATGCCTCTCAAAACAAATTATCATTGGAGTTTAGCGCTTTAATTAAAGTCAAAGTCTTCAACTGTGCAAACTTCACTCCCAGGGTTAGTTAAAAGAAATTTTGTTCCATCCGCTCCTTTGGCATGTAGATGCTAGCTCCTGATTCTTGTATTATATGTTTGATAATGGAGAGACAGTATGCACACACAAGACAATAGAAAAACAAAACAATAGCATGCAAGGTGCTGATAGCTGAAGCACAATCCAGGACTCGTCTGTGTCAGCATATCCAGCGCAGAAGACACAGCTAATTGTCCTGCAAACCTGTAAGGATTCATATATCTAGAAGATAAAACTGCCAAATCCAGGGAAAGGGGGTTCTTTTTCCATATGAAGAGCACAATTTGCATGCTTTTACCTTTGATTTCTGAAACTTAATCTTTTCAATAACAACTATATTTTCATGTTGTTCATTTCAGTTATAGTGATTATAGTTATAGTTACAGGGTGGTCTATTATAATGAAGTTATAACAACAGAAGATTATTAGTCACTAAATTCAGCCTTTTGTTTCGGACTGTGTGAGGATACAAAAATCTTGAAATAAGCCTTCACAGAAAATCTCAGACTTTTATGATCTCTCATATAGAATAAAGTAGAGATGATCATTCAGACATGTTTTGCAAAGTTTCATGAGAACTATATTCCAACAAATCAAATTGTAAGCAGACATCATTCATTGATTGACTAGTTACTTTTTCTATGGTTCTTACACTAAAACAAATATAACTTACTTGATCCGTTATGCAGGAAGCTAAAGTCTTCAGACGGTCCTCAAAGATGTCAAGCTCACCCCTTAGATACACACGCAACAACAAACCCAGAGCATTCAAGTACACCTGAATACACAATAAAAGTAAGACCACTTCCGCACAAAATGAGGGTGAAATTTGAACAGATAGCAGAATAACATACTTCTGGAGGCACAGCATCAGCTTTTTCCAGCTCTTTCCAGATATGTTGGTCATAAACTTCTAAAACTTTTCTCGCTGATGCATGACCTTCCAAGTAACAAAGAGCTACATGCCACCAATTATGTGTCAGCCTGTTGATTGAAACAGTGATGCCACCAATTATGGCATTGAAGAAAGCCATTAGGAAATTTATAATAACATATAGCATCTCATTTCTATACTAGAACATTTTATACATACATAAATGATGAGCAAGAACTCCATGAAGATGAGCATTCTTCCATGAAGTCTACTGCATCTTTGAAACGGCATTGATATTGAAGGACATGACACATCTGCACAAGAATTGACACTCAAAAGGATGGTCCATTCTAGCTCTTGCTTTCATATGGTACTTAGTCACTCCAAACCAAACTCATACTCCTGATCTCTCTTAAAAGACGAGTTAAAATTTATCCATGACAATGAGAAAAATAGTATGTTTCACTATGGTGGAAAAAAAAATAAAAAGGCAAGATATCATGTCCTGCATCATACTAAGATGATGAGAACTCACAGCATGTTGTGCCCAGTAATCTTGCTTGTTGATCTCATATCCCTTTCTTGCTGCTTCCTCAGCATCAGCCATTCGGCCCAGCTCTAATAATGGAAACGCAAGCATGCCATGTATATAATCTTCTTCTTGGTTTCTGGGTAAAACCTGTTGAAATGAAAAGTCTTGTTAACCCCAAGGTGGTTGATAATAAAATATACCTTATGCTATCTGGACAGAAATGAACCTGTTGCACAAGGTCCAGGGACAGGTCAGGTCTACCCATGTAGAAACATAAAACTTGAGCTCTTTTAAGAGTAACTAGATCTCTTGGGTAATCATTGAGGAGCTGTAAAATAAAATGTATGCATCAAATGAAATTAGAGGTTGTATGATTAAAGCCCATAAAAATCATTTAACAACAGTGTTCAATTAGCATTATAATTTAAATTATGTAACCAAGGAAAAAAAAGACTTAAGCTAAAATAAATTTAGAAAAAGCCCCCCTTTTTTGAAGGCATTAAGGAAGAATAGGGATTTTCTCTCACGGCCAAAATGCATTAACAGATTAGTTTTAAGGATAGAGGGGGTGAAAGGGTAGGCTACCTTAGAATGAAATTGAAGAGCAACATCATCATCTCTATTCTCACAAATCAAAGAATTAAGAGCATAAAAAACTGCTTTCTCATAAGGGGTGGCTTCTTCCTGTTTGTTAAAAGAAATTTCACAGGTGAAACATCCCATCAAAAGACAAAGGCCGTACATGAGTACAGTGGGAAAAACACTTACAAGTCGAGAGTTTGCAGCCTGGATATGGAAAGAAGCTCGGGAAGGATTGGCAGATGAGCAGAGGTAATGAGCTGCCATAATATTGGCTAACACGCAGTCTTTGTCATGAAGTGTAGCTTCCAAAATCACACGCCTCTCTCTTCCATAACTAAGAACCTTCATATAGCCAAGAATCAACACCAACCCAAAAAAGAAACTCCCTCTTTCTCTTTCTCTTTCTCTCTGGCAATCCAATTAATAAGTGGAGATAGAGAAAAGAAGACAGACCTGGTGGTAATAAGAGTTGATGGCAGAGATGCAAGCATCCGAGGAAGTGTTGACCTCGTAACCCCATTTGTCCAATTTAACACCACCTTCCATTTCTTCTGTATTTCTTTCAAAAATCACAGCGTTGCCGTCGCGGTCTGTTCAGGAGAAATAAGGACAGTTGCGACAGGGAGGAGTGTCGGGGACTCCAAGAACGAATATTGGTTTTATTTCCTATTACGTCGTGGCCATCCGTCCATACATTTCGTGACTGTAAACTTCAGTCCTTGTAGTTTATTGAAATTGATTAATTAAGCCTTACCGGAAAAATATTTCGTCATTTTTCCATCTCAACAATTTCTCATTTCTTTTTCTTTTTCTATTTATGATAGAAAAACAAATTGTGAAATAGATGAAAGATTAAGCTATGAACACACACACACACATATATATGAGAATTAATTAATTAATTAAAATTATTTATTAGATGGTCTAATAATAAAAATTTGAAATCAAGAAATTTCTTTCCATGTAATTTTAAATTTAAATAAAATAATTATTAATAATTACTAGAAATTATATAATTAATTTTAAAACTTGTAGAATTAATGAATGAGCATTGAGGTTATTTAAATATTCATGTTAATTAAAAAAAATAATTAATTAAGCTTATATTTTTTTAGGTAACTTTATCCTTAGAGATTATCTGTATCTGCATTTGTTTTTCATTCAATTAAATTTTAATTAGTTTAGAATAAAATAGGAATGATTTTCGTCCATATTTTCCTAATCTAGTAATTAGTAAAATTAGATAACGTCTTGGATAGAGTGTGTTTCCTAATCAGATGATTTTTCTTGTGTGATCTTATCCATATACTGTGATGTTGTCGTGACTCAATCCCATTAGAAATGGCGCAAAAAAAGGGACTATTCTCGAGGGATGTAAGAAGCGAATTGTGTAAGAATAACTACCATTAAAATTATATTTAATTACAATAATGTAAGTACTGTTTTTTTTTTCTGGTTATCAGGTTTTTTTTTTTTTTACAATTTTACTCTTATATTTGGTATTTACCTCAATTTATAAATCATGATTCATTATCATCATCATCATATATATATATATAACCTTCAAACATATCATAATTATGAGTTTTGATTTGGAGTAACATACTCTACAAAATATTCTTATCTTTAAGAGATATGGTTATGTTTGGATAACAGTCGAAAGATACTTGGCCGCTACAAAGGCTATACTCAATGGAACTAAGAAGAGAATCTTGAAAGTTTTGAAACCTAGCATCTCGGAGGACAGGAAGGATGGAGGTGTTTAGGCCTTCTTTTGTAAGGGGTTTTATTTCGACTTGGACAAGACCAACATGGATGTATTTATAGTTTCTGGCTAAATGTTTTTGTAAAGACTTCTGAGAGAGGAGTTGTATGGTTTCAAATGGTTTTGTGAAGTGAATATCTCGTTCCTCAATTTTAATAGTGAAATCTGTTTTGAAAATATCATATTTAGATTTTTGGTAAATCTGGGTTTGAGAAATTTTTGGGATTTTTTAGTCATCAATGTTTTTTGTAAAGTCTTCAATAGTTATTTCTTCACTTTGTATAATTTTCCTGCTTTCAGAAGAGTCAGAAGTAAAGGAGGCGGAAGTAGAGGTAGTTCTATAGAAAACAGAATCTATTAAGAAGAAAGATAAACTAGAAAACAGGCTGCAGATTATATGAATTTATTGCCCTAGAATTTTAACGGGACTTACACCATTCAGTTGCAATCATCTATTTCTAGTGGTCTCTATGTTCTCTAAGAAAACTGTCTTTTATAATATTAATTTTATCTAGATTTTAACAGGCTTTATACCAATATAAAGTCAGTACATGACATTGTTATATTTAAGAATAATTTTAAAAGATCAGGTGACAGGTTACAACCTATATACTGATTTATATATATATAAGCAGCCGCTAAAAAACACTTTGCAGATAATTATAGAGATATGTGAGGTATTACAACAATCCGTGGATTCACTTTTTGTCTGGTGACTTGAAAATCTTATATAACCGTACACCTCCAAAAGGTAATTAATACTCAATTGTTAATTTTTATGGTCTCTCTCAGAGTTTTGATTTTGATTTTTTTGGGTTTCCTGATTTTGAAACAGTTGGCTGCCTTAGAAAAAAGAGTTGAAATTCACTCTATTTCAATACTATACTAGCCTCCTTATATGTATTACGCTATGGATAAGAATTCAAGCTATCCTTTTAACGTATAAAGATAAGGCATTAGTGTTATGAATATTTTTTTATAGGATCATTAAATTTATTAATTCATAAATAATAAAATAATCCATGTGTTTAACTCAATGAATTTAAAGATATATTAGGTAAATCATAAAAAAGAATTATGAGTGATAATTAAAAACTGAATTAGAAAATTGATAAAAGATAAATAAACATGCAAATATTTTATCTTGTTTATAATTTTTATTTTATATATTTTATTTATTTTGAAAGTTTATATTAGTTGGTGAGTACATATAATTTTTATTTTCATAAATATATCATGGAAATACAACTTATTTATCTCAAAGTTAATAAAATATAATGATAAATTATAAATATTTTTATTATGTTTATTTTTTTAAAAAAGCAGACAACTTGTAGTTTGTTTGTCCAATTTCCTACCACTAAAGATGTGGTCAAAAAATCAAGTTGGGGTTTTTTGAATTTAAAAATTTATTTTCACTTAAAAACTTATATTAAACATCCTTATAATGTTAATAAATCAATTCCTCAACTCAAAACACATTTAAATTGATTCAAAAACACAAAATCATAAAAATTATCTTACAATCCCGATTTACTGGTATCAGAGCCTATTGGGATCTAGGTAGAATTAGTATCATAGAAGACAGTTTTCTCAGAAAACATAGAGACTATTAGAAATAGGTGAATGCAACTGAATGGTAATTGGACAAAGAAACCAAAAATACAAATAAAATAAAAAACTAGAGACCAAAGTGATTTTAAGTTGCTTGGTCATTGAGTTTACTTGGAGACCAGGTAATTAGGAGGAAAATGACAAATTTGTTTTGTTTATAAATATCTTGTACAATAAATATAAAAGGGAAAGAAATTTTAAGAGAAAACGAGTTAGAGCTAAAAAGAACCACATATAATTACTCACCACACAAAATACCCTTATTCATTGTCCCTCTCTTGAACCTTTACCACATGTACTTAAAAAAGCTATAGCTACTTTTAGTTGAGGCTCTTTATGGTTTAAAAAAGAGTCATGGACTAATTATTTAAAAGAAACAAGGAGATTATTTTTTTTACTTGGACCCAAAAAAGAATCCAAGCCGAGTTTTTTTTATTTTATTTTATGATAGCCTATATTCTTTTTACCTCTCATTGCCAACGACAACCATAACTTCTATCAATAGTGATGAAATAGCCACCATCTGAATATCATTGATCCAAATAAACCTAGCACCTCCTCCACCATTAAAAAAAAAAACCATCATTGACATGACTAAAAATTAATATCTTTTTCAAAGTGCAGGAGTGTCGAAATAATAAAAACAAATTATAAACAAAAACAACAACAACAACAACAACAATAATTGTATAAATTATAAATAATAACAACAACAATAACAATAACAATTGTATAAATTATAAATAACAACAACTCTACTACCACCAACAACAATAATAGTGATAATAATAATAAAAAGAAGAATAAAAAGTTGATGAAAATTTTAAGATAGAAGATCGATGTGAGGATCAAATAATGATAAAAAATAAATGTTAAGGATAGATGATCAACTAATAATATTTCAAATAAGTATAATATAAACTCTTTTTATTACTCAATTGAAAACCACACATAAAGGAGGTTCCAAATGGATTATAAATTATTGACATGATTACATTAGTTATCTTATCTGAATAATGCAAATACTTGTAAATATTATCATGCATTCATGATTATAACTTATGTTAACAACAAATCAAGTTTTTTGCATAGTATATGTATTCGTTATACCATATAGTTTGGGCTATGAAAGTACCAAGTATTTGTTGTATGATTAGTACTTAAAAGTGCATTTTTATCAAGGTTTTATATCATCATTTTGTACTTGAAGTATTAATAACTCCTTAACTAAAGCATATTTTACAATAACATATGTAATAATATAAGATATCTTTAATTTATGGTAAATATTTATTTTAAATGCAGGCCTATCATATAAATGAAAAGATCGATTGATGAATTTAAGAACTGAAATTGAAAGAACAAAGAGATGGCCAAATTTAGGAAAGAGATGTTAGTGCAGTCCAAACTGGAACACTGTTCGGTAATTGGGTCATATTTGGAGCTGTAGATATCAGATTTAGGTTTATTTTATATGGATGGAAAGGTAAGACATACGAATACAACTTTCATATAGATCCAAGATTTAAAAAGTTCATTTTCAAGTCCAAATTATAGTAACAACAAAAAAGTCTGAATCTGTGCTACAGTCCACACACTATTCAATGTTTGGCCCATATCTGGAGTTCTAGAAGTCCAAATGACCTCCCTTTTTTTTTTCCTGGAAAGCTAAGATAATTTTCTACAATTTCATATTCTTAAGTGGTTCTAATTCTGACGTTATCAATGATGTTTTGGGTATATAAAAGAAGATAAGGATTGTTACCAAGTCAAGAGTTCACCATCCACTCATCAATTAGTCATCAAATTAATAATTCCTAATTTTGGCCTATAAAAGGAGGCATTTGCCATGCATTTAGACATCTTGGTCTCCAGATCAAGATCATGCTCTTGCTTTTTCTCTTTGTATTTTTGTAATGCTTAAGTTTTATTTTCATTAATATCTTATTTATGCCTTTCATTTCATTTCCTTTACTTA